TAATTAATTTCTTAATTATAACAATGATAATTATTACTTCGAAATGCTAATTAATTAATGATAATTAATAAGTATTTTAATAATATTAATTATTAATCGGGATAAAATCATTTTATATTTATATTAATTCATAATAATTATTTTATAAATATAATTAGTGTTACTTATTTACATTATTATTATTATAAGTAATTATAATTAATACTATTATTATTCTCCAATAAACATTTCATTTGGTTAAAGTTAAACTAGCGGAAGGGGCCCTGCGTTGTAAGGGCTCGCTCATAAACTATTAGGCTCGAGCTCGATTCGAATTATAGACTTGAGCTCAAGCTTGGCTCGACTTGAACTCGACTACCTTTGATTGTAGTCCCTAGCAGTTGAGATGCTAAGCTAAGGTCTCCCTCAGTTGGAGAGAGAGTGGCATTCTTGTAATTTATAAGGAGAGAGAGAGAGATAGCGGAGGGGGCCATGCGTTGTAGGGGCTCGCTCATAAACTATCAGGCTCAAGCTCGATTTGAATTAGAGACTTGGAGCTTGAGCTTGATTTGAGGCAAAAGCTCAGAAGTTCGAGTGCGGTCTCTCAAGCAACCGATTGCCGAGTCGAGGTTTCGAGCCGAGGTCTCCTTCAATTGCCAAGGTGCCAAACCGAGGTCTCCCTCAGCTGCTGAATTGTCGAGCTGAGGTTTCCCTAGCAGGCAAGGTGTCTAGCTAAGGTCTCCCTTAGTTGAGAAGGTGCTGAGCTGAGGTCTCCCTCAATTGTCAAGGTGTTGAGCCAAGATCTCCCTCAGTGACCGAGGTGTCGAGCCGAGGTCTCCCTTAGTGGTCGAGGTGTCGTCTAGCTTGAGCTCGACTTGAATTAAAGACTTGAGCTTGAGCTCAAAAGTTCAAGCTCGGCTCGAACTCGACTACCTTTGGTTGCAAGTCCACTAGCATCCAAGATGTTGAGCTAAGGTCTCCTTCAATTGAAGAGATAGTGGCATTCTTGTATGGAGAGAGATGGCATTCTTATAATTTGTAAGAAAGAGAGAGAGAGTAGCATTCTTGTAATTCGAAAGAAAAAAAAGCATGAGAGGGAGAGAGAGAGTTGGTAGGAGAGAGTGGCCATCTTGTAATTTCTAAGAAAAAAGGCAAAAAATACTATTAGATTCCATTTCCCTCATCCTCAAGCCTTCTTATGTACACATTTCAACTTAATATATTTATATAGATTTTTATGATTAAAATGGAATTAGGCTCGAGCTCAATTTGAATTAGAAACTTGAGCTCGAGCTCGTCTTGAGTCAAAACTCAAAAATTTGAGCTCGACTCATGTCAAAAGCTCAGAAATTCGAGCTCGACTACCTTTGCAGGTTCCTCAAGTAGTCAAGGTGTCGAGCTGAGGTCTCCCTCAATTTTCAAAGTGCCAAATCAATGTCTCCCTTAGCTGTTGAAGTGTCGAGCTAAGGATTCCCTAGCAGGCGAGGTGTCGAGCTAAGGTCTCCCTTAGTTGACAAGGTGCCGAGTTGAGGTCTCCCTCAGTTGTTGAGGTGTTAAGCCGATATCTCCCTCAATGACCGAGGTGCCGAGCCGAGGTCTCCCTTAGTGGTCGAGGTGTCGTCTAGCTTGAGCTCGACTAAAATTAGAGACTTGAGCTTGAGCTCAGAAGTTTGAGCTCGGCTCGGCTCAAACTTGACTACCTTTGATTGCAGGCCCCCTAATAGTCGAGATGCCGAGCTGAGGTCTCTCTTAATTGGAGAGAGAATGTCATTCTTGTAATTTATAAGGAGAGAAAGGGATGGAAGGAGAGAGATGGTATTCTTGTAATTTGTAAGAAAAAGAGAGAGTTGGTAGGAGAGAGTGTGTCATTCTTGTAATTTGAAAGAAAAAAAGCAAGAGAGAGAGAGATGGTAAGAAATAGTGGCATTCTTGTAATTTGAAAGAAAAAAAGCAAAAGATAGAGAGTTGGTAGAGAGTGACATTCTTGTAATTTCTATGAAAAAAAGGCAAAAAAATACTGTTAGATTCCATTTCCCTCATTCTCATGCATTGTACACATTTCAACTTAATATATTTATATTGATTATAAACTTTCAATCAACCATTATTGTTAAACTAAAAGAAATATAAAAGCAATTATTATTTTAAGAATTAACTAAAATCATAATTATAACAAATTAATTATTTAATAATAATAATAATAATAATAATTTAATATTACTAACTTCAAAATCAGTACACACATAATAAGAATATATTATTAGTAAATAATAGTAATAATAATATACTTATTATTATTATTGATTTCATAATAATATCTTATTAATCTATATTAACTCAATAAAGACATGGAATAAAAAAAATATTCAAATTGCTACTAAATGAATGAACTAAAAATCTATGAGTATTCTAATTGACTTGAATTTGACAAACAAAGCATTATGTTATGTACATATTTCCCTACCTTTTTCCTAAAGATAAATTCTAGCCGGTCTATGTGCACTGTGGGGAGCTTAGATTTAAAATCCGTAATCATGATCTACCAAAAGAAGCATTGCCACCTAACTTGGAGGTGACTTCCATACTTAGGATGGTCTCATTATTCTCCTTTCTTATTTCCTTTGTTGGACGGGCTTTAGAGTCCTGATTAAATTATTAGTTGATTGTAGTCATATATTTTTCATCTCTTAATTCAGAGGATGGATGCATTTGCAAATATTGTTTAGCATGGATTGTTTTTCTTAGCAACTCTTTGAATAATTTTCTTCCTTCTTTGCCTCTTTGAATGGATATCATTTAAATGCTTTTTATCCATTCATATGTCTCTAAATATTAAGTAGTATTGGTGATATTGTTGTAAACATCCATCTAATTTTACTATTTTATAAATAGATTAATGATTTCAAAATTATTGATACCTTTTTGGGGGTAGGTTGCTCAACAAAACATTGATTTTTTATTGTTAAATAGTAAATTTCAAATTAAATGATACTATAATTGCCCCTTACTTAGTATGGGGTCATTGTCTAGATAAAACATGGTAAGTCTTTTAAATCAAATAAATAGACTACCCTAAATTTCTATTATAAATAATTAAAAAAATGAAATAATTCAAATTAAATCAAATAATTACTTGCTATAAATTACTGGATTAAGTAAATAATAATAACAATCAATTATTTATAGAAATAATTAATAATAATCATCACCATCATCAAGTACTTAATTAAGTAAATAACAAAAAGCGAAATAACAATCATCAATCATCATTAATATTTATTCAAAGCATGCCTCATAATAATTACTGAATACAGTAATTGAACCTTAAATAAGAATCAATATTTATTAAAGGTCATTAAAATTGTTAAGCCAAATCATTAATGTTTATTCTTAAATTCAAAATATTAATTAAAAAATCTATTATATAATAATTATAGTCAGTTGAAAAAATATTTTAAATAATTACAAATTTAGTTAGTATTTTTACTATATAACAAAAAATTTAAATTAAATATCAAAACAACAACAACAACGACAATACTAATAATAGTTGAATTAAAGTAATAAATGGTTCAAGTTTTACAACAACAATAATAATGATAATAATAATAGTTGAATTAAAGTAATAAATGGTTCAAGTTGAATTTAGTGACCCGTATAATTTTACTGTTTTGACATATAAGGGTCAATTTATGTGGACCCATAGACTATATGAGTGTGTTAAAAAGTGGCAGTTTATAAACAATAATAAAAAATGGTAATAAAAATCATTAATATTTATTTATATATATAATAACTTTCCCGGGGTCATTCCCTAGTTTATAAAAATAAAATTAAATAAAAAAACTCAACCCTCTCTAGCGCCCTAAAAGAGGCAAAAGCCTTCCGAGTTCCCAAACAAAAGTCTGACAGACATGTATACAGTATACCGCATGCCAAACTCGTTTCACTTCTCTGGGAAAGCCCATGTGTCATCCGACCGTCGCCCCACGAACAAAGCGTGGACTGGACCACCCATCCCACGCTCTTAATCCACCTAATCCCACCACCACTTGTTTGCCACCAGGCCCACCACTTGTTTAACTAGCGAGGTTTGCCTTACAAACAAAATAAAATAAAAGAAGATAACGATCCAGAAAAACTACCCATTATTGTTGTTTGAAATAAGGTGTATTTTCTTTTCGACCCACACTGTTGAATTGAAAATAAAATAAAAGAAGATAACGATCCAGAAAAACTACCTCGAACTTCAAGTTTGAAATAAACCTCGATTTGATTTTTCTTTTTCAAAAACAATAATATCTATCATGGTGTAGATGGGCTGGGGCTGGACCGGCCAAACTTATCAAGTTCAAGTGGGAGATACCCTTATCTAGTTAACATAAATTCTACAGACATTTGCAAGATTTCTCGTAAGCACTTGAATTAGAACTCCATTTTGTTTTGTATATCTAGTTTTCCAAGATTTCATCATTGCCCATTGTTTGCCCCTGCTGTTTGTTTGTTTAATTAATGGGCACCTTATCTAAAGGATCAGCGTTTCTATCAAAAACCAAAAATTAAAAAAAAAAAGAAATGAAAAAAATGGGATAAATCCAAATAAGCACTTTTAAAATTCTTTAAAGGAAGAATGGAAGTTTTACGTGAAATAAAAGGAAAAAATGGACAATGTATTAATCTTTTTAGGCAGATTCTTCCATGTAAATGGGTTAACGAAAAGTATAAACTAGAGTGATTATATTGATCTCTAAAAGTATTGCTTTTGATTCTACAACGAAACAAACAGAGCTTCAGATATGATTGAGCTCGTGGCCCATCGCAAGACCAAAGGTCAAAAAAATGACAAATTGATACAATAGACAGACGTATTCAAATAAAATTCCTCCAAAAATAATCAAAATTCTAACCCTAAATTGGGAATAAAAAATTATACAATGAGAAAGACAGAATGCTAGCTACTCGCCATTCAAATTGGGAATCAAAAGTTAGAAGATTTGGTCAGTTATCCATATATATAGTCATGAGCAGAGCCTACTTGCTTCACAGAGCCTACTTGCTTCACAGATTAGTACTACATCTTCTCTATAGACTCTAATGGCTCTACTAGTCTCGTTTATTTTCTTCTTACTGTCCATTCTCTCAGTAGTACTCTTCCTTAAACCATCTCCTAATAACCTTCCCCCAGGACCCTTTTCATGGCCAATTATAGGGACCCTGTTGCCCAAGCTGAAGAAGCAACCCCATGTCGAGCTAAGCAAATTGGCACAGAGATTTGGTCCACTAATGCTCCTAAAATTTGGGGTTGAGCCCGTTGTTGTGGCTTCGAGCCATGTTGCAGCCGTGGAGGTGCTCAAGAATCAGGATCGATTGCTTTCAGGCCGCTTTGCACCACACAGCGTCCGAATTAAGGGCTATATTGAACACTCCATGGTGTGGGCTGATTGCACTGATTACTGGAAGATGGTCAGGAAGGTATGGAGGACTGAATTGTTCTCTACTAAGATGTTGGACATTCAGGCACACGCCAGAGAGGAGAAAGTATCGGAACTGATGAAATTTCTCATACGGAAGGAAGGAGAGAAGGTGAATTTTGCTGATGTGATATTCGGTTCCATTTTGAACATATTAGGTGCACTTATTTTCTCCAAAGACGTGTATGATTTTGAAGACAGGACGGATAATAACTTGGGTATGAAGGGCATGATTCGGCAGCTGATGATATTGGCAGCCATCCCAAATCTAGCCGACCTCTACCCAATTCTTGGCGGATCAGACTTTCAGGGCTTGAGGAAGGCATCGGCAGCGTGTGTCAAGCGGATGAATGAGTCATGGGCCGCCATTGTTAAACAAAGGAGGAAGAATGATGACCACTCCAAGAATGATTTCTTGCAAGTTTTGCTCGATTCTGGGTTCAGTGATCCCCAGATTGACGCCATGCTTCTGGTTTGCCTCTCTCTCTCTCTCACTGTATATATATATTTTTCTATGCACAAAAAAAATAATATGCACAAAAAAAATATGAAAATGTTTGGATATGCTAAGGAATGAATATAAACTTCACAAATATATTAATAATATTATATTTAAGGTTAAAATAATCATAATTAATGTATAAATACATAGAAATTGCATATTTTAATGTTATATGTGAAGAAATATATTACAATTGATATAGTGGGATACATAGAAATCATACACTTTTATTGATAATGTATCAGTCAAATTAATATGTGCACAAAGTTATTATTATATTATTTTCTATTGAAGTTCAAGGCACAAAACATATGCAACTATTTTATCAATTATTTCCTATTTTATTATTTTTAATTTTTAACATTAACAAAAAAGTCAATTAAAATTAATTCTCAAATGTTTGGTAAACAATATTTTTATAATTTTTACTTAAAATATGTCAAATATATTATAATTTCTAAGATATATGTCATATGCAAATATGTAATTTTTAATCACTAAAATAATTATTCCATTAATAATATTTTTATTTATATAAATTTTATGAAATAAAATAATCATTTTTTGTTATGAAAGTAGATTAGCTGATTCGAAAAATTCAATTTATATTATATTCTCAAATATTTGGTAAATAGTATTTTTATTTTTATAAATAATAAATATGTTGCTATTTAATGTAAATTAAAATATTAATTAATAGTTTATAAAAAATTTAAGATACACATCATGTTCAAATTTATAAATTTTAAGTATTAAAATAATTATTCTATTATTAATATTTTTATTTGTATAAATTTAATTCTAACAGATAAGGACAATTTTTGCTCCCAATAACAACAAAAATAACACTTTTAGAAGAATTACAATTTCGAAGTAGCTTTTTTCTGAAAAATATCAAATAAGAGAACTTAAATACGAGGTCTTTATATGTATGCGATACAAATTGTATTTGTATTTTTTGGACAAAATTACTCTTCTTGTTCAAAACGCTCTCCCTCTCTCTTTCTTTCTTTCTCTCGATCAAAATGAGATGACCTTGGTTACCATTCATCTCTCTCTCTGTGTTCCGGAGAAAAACAAAAACAGAGACCAATTCTCTCTCTCTCTCTCTCTGTTCTGGAGAAAAAAAAAAACAGAGACCAACTCTCTCCCTGTGTTCTGGAGAAAAACAAAAACAGAGACCAACTCTCTCTTTCTCTCTCTGTGTTCTGGAGAAAAACAAAAACAGAGACCATCTCTCTCTCTGTGTTCCGGAGAAAAACAAAAACAGAGACCTCGTTCTCTTTTGCTAACTCTTCAAAGAAAGATTTCTACTGATCAGATGGGGACGTCAGAGACTTCTCGAGAGCCCTGACCCGAACCGAATCCTAGACGAGGTCAGCGGTGCTTTCGGTATGGGTGTCGTTGGCAGATCATTCTTCCACATATTCAAAGGCGTCTACAACTCCCCCACATATTCAACAGAGGGAGAAAGAGAAAGAAAGACAGAGAAAAATAAAGGGGAGAAAGTTTCAATTTATACACCATACGGTATCCTCATTTTTCCTGAAGCAGATCGAGAGAAAGAAAGACAGGGAGTGAGAGAGGGAAAGAGAGAGTGAGGGAGAGATTGTTTTGAATGAGAACTTAATAGATAAGAATACAATTCATATACCATACGGTAAAGAAACATCATATGTCACTGCTCCTAAATGATATTTTTCGAAAAAAGTTGCCTTAACGTTGTAATTCTTCCAAAAGTGTTACTTTAGTTGATATTAGAAGCAAAAAGTTCCTCTTATCGGTTATAACCTCTAAATTTATTGACATTAAAACCACTTTTTGATATAAATATAAATTTATAAATTTATTTCATTAGCTTACAAAATAAAATTTTGAATATTATTTTTTTCATCTTTAATTAAAGTTGTTGAACATAAATATATATGATTTATTTGGATTACATTTAAATGTTTAGATAAAATTTATTTTATTTTGTTGATTATCACAAGACGAAGGTTGGCTTAGTGGCTTAAAGTTGCATTTAAATTGTATGTGCTAGAAATATTGGGGATTGAATCACCTCATTTTGCATTTTAAATAATGCGGAAGTGAAATCATGGTCAATAACGATACCTATTGGCTGATACAATACATTTGCGTATTAGGGTTGATATGCACAATTCAAGGGATACGGGAAACACTACAACTAAACCCGTATCCCCTTTATGGCCTTTCCCGATACTAATATGATAATCGGACATATCATGTGGATATTTAAATTCTTTCTTATAACAATAATTAAAGATAATGTTTTCAGAACATTGTCCAAGCTGAAGAAGCTTTAAGGCAAACCTAAAGACAATGATTTTATAATGTTATTTTCCCCATTAGTTGATTGAATTTGATGTTGGGTTACTACCAAGTTCATTTCCATGATACAATGGCCTTAGGTGAGATATTGTAACTAGTAAAATTGAAGAATCTACAAAAAGAACTTTCTATGACACGGAAGCAAATTAGACTAAAAGAGAGAAAAGTATTTATGTAATGAGTTTTAGTGAAAACTTGTGGATTCTTTTTCTTAAATCGGTTTTATTTAATCCTTTTATAGATTCTAGAGAATCACCTTGAAAAGGAGTATCCTTTTATTGCTTTGTTATTATTTTTAGGTATAATTATAAAAAAAATTCTTATTAATTTTTATTGCTTTGTATTTTGACCCTAACAAAGGCCTCCCCTATCCTTTACAAAGATAAAATACCTCTCTTTTGTTTTTTTGGGAAGAAAAAGAAAAAGAACAAAAAGTTACAACAATTAGCTTATGCTGCTTTTTGGCAGGAAACGTTTGGACCTGGTTCAGACACTAGTACCTCCACGATTGAATGGGCAATGGCAGAATTGCTGCGGAACCCAGAGAAGCTGGTAAAGGTCCGCGAGGAACTCGACAGGGTGATCAGAAGAAGCAACAATGTGAAGGAGTCTGATCTGCCAAACCTACCTTATCTCCATGCCTGTGTCAAAGAGACCCTCAGGTTACACCCTCCGGTCACCTTCCTTCTTCCACACCGAGCAATGGAAACTTGTCAAATGATGAATTACACGATTCCAAAGGGATGCCAACTGATGGTAAACACATATGCAATTGGAAGAGATTCCAAGACATGGGAGAAACCCTTGTCTTTCTTGCCAGAACGATTTCTGAACTCAGAACTTGATTACCAAGGTAACGATTTCCAGTACATACCATTTGGTGCCGGCAGAAGAATCTGTCCAGGGTTGTCATTGGCAACTCGAGTTGTTCGACTGATACTCGCTTCTCTTCTCCACACTTTTGATTGGAGCCTTCCTGATGGAATGCACCCAGATGAGCTAGACATGAACGATAAGTTTGGGCTGGCTCTCCAGAAGGACATCCCTCTGGTAGTCATTCCCAAGTTGAGGAAGTAATTAAAGGGGTCTAGTTATATTAAGCTATTAGTATTCATATAGCTTTTGTTTGTCTCCCTTTCGCAAGGAAACTTAATTACTGTATGTGTTAATTATTAGCACAGTCATGGCGGCATTGTGTGTGCATCTATATAAGTAGAATGTGATGTAGCTTCAATAAATTCATGGCCTTTCTCTTGAAATTGTTGTATCCTTCATTGATAACAAAATGATGATAGAGAGGAAAAAACATAGAAAAAGGAAAGACTGTATTTTATTTTTAACTGCAAAAAAGAGATAAATCCTTAAAATAGAGAAAGTATATATACTATAGTAATAGTATAAGGTTGTCCATGTTATTCACTCTCTCCTTCATTGATTCTCCCTTCTCCGCATTCTCTTTTAACTTCTCTCGTGCAACCGCGTCGCACCTATAAATAATGTTTTGGTAGCTGTCTTACAACCAATATATATATATATATATGGCGTTTTACTGAAACTTCTTTTAAACAATTCAGTGAGAGCGGCTCAATCAAAGCTACAAGCCTACAACCTCCATCAGAGGTGTTTAATTGGTTTGAAAGAAAAAGTACGAAAATTCACACAAAATCTTATAAGTTTCCCTATTTTTTCCTTCCTTTTTTCCTTTAAACCAAATGCAAAAGAAAATTTACTCCTAAAGAAAAGGCTTCGAACCCATCAACGTCACATAGCATTTTTGTTTTTGTTTTTTAAATAGAAGACCATGAACTATCTCGATTCTGTATGGAAGCAAATTCAGATTTCAGAGTCGTTCCACGAACTACACGTGAGCAGGACCACCCATCAACTTTAAGTAAGAAATTAAACTCGATTTGATTTTTCTTTTTCAAAAACATCACAATACCTATCCTGGCGTAGATGGGCTGGGCGTGGATCGGCCAAGCCAAACTTATCAAATTCAAGCGGGTGATACCTTTTTATCTAGTAAATATAAATATAAATTCTACACTGACATTTGCAAGATATCTTGCAAGTCGTAAGTACTTGAATTAGATATCCATTTTGCATTGTATCTAGTTTTCCAAGATTTCATCATTTCCCATTGCCCCAGCTGTTTGTTTGTTTAATTAATGGACATTGAAATAAAGCTAGGCCAACTTAATCAGTTTAGAAAAATGATTACGGCACTCTATTGTTTGTTTCAGTTTTAATACCAAAAAAAAAAAAAGAAAAAGAAAAAGAAAAAAATTAAGCTAGGCCAACTTGGTCTTTGGGGGTATAGTATGCATTATGCAGCTCATGTCCAACCCAATGAGCACCTTATCTAAATAAACAAGCACATCAGCGTTTCTATCAAAACCCAAAAAGGAAAAAAATAGGAGAAATCTAATAAGCACTTTTTAAAAATTTTTTAAAACAAGATTGGAAGTTTCACGTGAAAATGGCCAATTTATTAATATTTTGAGGCAGATTCTTCCGTGTAAATGTGAATGATATGTAAATGGGTGAAGGGAAAAGTAAAGTTAGAGTGATTATATTGATCTTATCTAGGGGAGTTCCTTTTTCTGGATTTTGAGAGGGGGAAAAGTCAGTGATCAATGGGATTTTGATTCTCATTGACCAAAAATCTCATGTTCTTTTTTCAGATTTATGTGGGGACCAGGGAAAGTTTATTTTCCAAGGTATTCCTAGGTTGGCAAATAACTTTCCCATATTGGGGGAAAGTTGCCAAGACTTGAATATGACAAAAATGCCCCTTGTAATAATGGATTTTTATGACTAAAATGGTCATTGTCTTATTTACATGGGAAATAAAAGAACATGGATAAATGCACTTACTTGGGTAAGTCTTTCCTGGGAAACACTTACCTGGGTAAGTGCATTTAACCGAGTAAATAATTTACTGAAAAGCGAACGGGCCCCTAATGTCATGAGATCAGATACTGGCCATTCAAATTAATTGAAAATCAAAAGTTGGTAGGTTTGATCATTTATCTATATATAGTCATGAGCAAAGCCTAGTTTGCTTCACAGACTAGTACTACTACATCGATCTTCTCCAGACTCTAATGGCTCTACTATCCTTGTTTATTCTCCTTACTGTCCATTCTCTCACTAGTACTCTTCCTTAAACCATCTTCTAAAACTTCCTCGAGGACCCTTTTCATGGCCAATTATAGGAACCCGGTTGCCCAGTCCAACAAAGAAACCCAATTTGGAGCTAGTCAAATTAGCAAAGTGTTGTAAAAATAATAAAGAAGGTACAATGGAACTTATTGGTAATCGCTTTCCAAACCGAAGTTGCAGTGATGCAATGTTGCAGAATCTCGAAAATTGGGAATTGCAGGGAGAAGGAGGGTTGAGTCGTGTCACTTGGTCACTCTCATCATTTTCCCCCTACAGTGCAGCCGAATGATCGCAAATCGGTCGCTAAGATAAAACAACCTACAGGCCACTAGTAGGCGTGCACTCGCTTACTAGACCTTTGCGAACCACAGAAAGGATGATGCTCAGATTACAGAGAAGAAAACTCATTGAGAATTTATCTATGTGAAACTGGGTCGACCAACATCCATTTTATGGATTGGTCTCAAAACCGAATGGACACAGAGGCATCCTTTCAGACAGAAGCCTCTTCAGAATAGTGTACCTGTTCGAAGAGGCACAAAAATGAAGAGACACGTAATGAGAAAGAGAAAACATTTTAAAAAAATTAAATTCGTAATTCGAAAAGACACATGTTTGAGTAGATACAAAAACATTTAATTCGAAATTCAAATCCGATAAAAAGTAAAAGCGATTCGGTGCATCGTGCGTGCGTACACGTATACGTACACGCGCCCACGCCTACGCCACACCACGCCCCGACCTAGTTTGGCTCAGTTCAGCTCAGGGCGATAGAGAAAATATTTTAAATAAGGTACCCATTGTACTAAACATTGAAAATGATCCAAAGACCTACAGTGAGACTGTGACCTTTAGAGATGTTGCCTTTTGGAAGGAAGGTATAAATGATGAAGTGGATTCAATAATGTCAAATAACACATAGGTACTAGTAAACTTGCCTCTAGGATTAAAACCAATTAAATGTAAATGGGTGTTTAGAAGAAAATATAACACTAATGAAACTGTACAAACTTTTAAGGCTAGATTGATAGCCAAATGATTCGGTCAAAAGAAAGGGATTGATTACTTTGACACCTATGCACTAGTGGCTAGAACAATTTCTATTAGAACACTTATAGCACTAGCACTGATTTATCACTTATCTGCTCATCAAATAGATGTTAAAACTGATTTTTTAAATGGTGATTTAAATGAAGAAGTTTATATGAAACAAATAGAAGGATTTGTTCTTCTTGGAAATGAGAAGAAAGTCTATAAATTGGTTAAATCACTATATGGTTTAAAATAAACACCCAAACAATGGCATGAGAAATTTGATTTTTGCATTATAACTTTTGATTTTAAACACAATAGTGTCAATAAATGCAATTACTCAAAATTTACTGAAAATTATAATGTAATTGTAGGTCTTTATGCTAATGACATGCTTGTTGTGGGTACTAATATAGTTGGTATAAATAAAACTAAAATTTACTTTATCCTCTGTCTTCAAGATGGAAGGTTTAGGAGAAGTAGATACCATCTTGGGAATAAAAATTAAAAAAACATAGAAGGGGTTATGCATTAAGCCAATCACATTATATTGAGAGAATTCTTAAGAAATTTAAGCATTTATGATTTAAAGAATATAGCACACCATATGATTCTAGTATAAAGTTAGTAGAAAATTCTAGTAGAGCAATTGCACAACTCGAGTATGCTAGTGCAGTAGGAAGTTTGATGTATGTTATGCTTTGTACTAAACATGATATTGCATTTGCAGTAAGTAAACTTAGTCGGTTTATAAGTAATCTCAGTGTATAGCATTGGAAAACAATTGGGAGAGTTCTTGGGTACCTCAAAAGAACCTTGGAACTTGGCTTATTTTACTGTGATTATCTAGCTGTACTAGAAGGGTACATTGATGCAAGTTGGATAACTGGTAATGGAGATAACAAGTCTACCTCTGGATGGATTTTCGTCCTTGGTGGGGTGCGATCTCTTGGGCATCCAAAAAACAAACTTGTATATCTCACTCGACCATAGAATCCGAATTCATAGCTTTGGTAGTTGCTAGAAAAGAGGTTGAATGGATTAGAAATTTATTATTGGATATAACACTTTGGCCTAATTCTATGCCTCAAATTTCCATATACTGTGATAGTTAGGCAACTCTGTCGAGAGCTTAAAGTGGTACCTACAATGGTAAGTCTAAGACATGAATTTGTTAGGCAACTAATTTAAGATGGAGTCATCACTATAACTTATGTGAGGTTAAGTAAAAACTTGGTTGATCCTCTTACCAAAGGTTTGCCTAGAGAGCTGGTAAGAATGATAACTAAAGAAATGAGATTAAAACCCTTTACTTAGTCACCTGTAATGGTAACTCGACCCGAACTAAAAAACATCAGTATTGGGTTTAATGGGTAAGAATAAGTTACAACAATGTGATTGTTAGCACTGACATTGAGAAAATTCCTATTACAACACAAACAATGTTGTCCGTTATGATGAGAGGTTGAGTTAAACTCTTAATGGAGTTCTGAAATGTGTCTAATAATGGAACTTCACCTATGTGAACATAGAAGTGGGGCTACTTCTCATGAGAGCTTGAATTTGCTCTCGGGATTGTTCATGAGACTAGGAAAGAAGCACATGACCATAATAGTGTTGTGCAAAAAATTTGAAACTCTTGCAAAGATAGGACAATTTTGTGTATGGGTATTTTCGGTCTATCTTGAAAGTAATTTGGTTTAAGGTCTTACCACCAGTAACTTTGACAAGGCTTTGGGATATCTGTACTAATAAAATATTTAAGTTATGAAACACCTTTTGTATGCATAAATATGTCATAATATTTTGGATTGAGAGAGACCTATGTAATTGATCAATCAAAGTGGGGGATTGCTGCATTTTAATCTCATTAGAGATTAAATCCAATGGGGTTTGATTGGTCAATTAAATGAAAAAACACACATGTACACATGTTTTAAAAAATAACTTTTCTCTTACTAAAACATGTTTTTAACTTGTCTCACATTGGAAAATTACAAGAATTGTTTTGGGTTTTTAATAGGAGCTGATTTACACTCCTTAGATATAAAAAGAGGAGAGTATGGAGGC